CAGCCACATAACATGAGGGTTTCTATCTACTGCTCAGAAGTTTCCTCAATGTGCACCTAGAGCCACATAAACACATCCACTGATTCTTATTTTCCTGTCTCCATTTAGAGACAACTCAGACTTAAAACCACCATTTACTTTATAATAACTTTTTATTCCTTTAATTATAAGAGTAAGACATGTATATTAATTTTTTATGGTGCTTGGAATAGAACTCAACAAATTTTCTACAAATTCCAAGAATATCTTAAACAATTTACAGAATTATAAAGCACAGAAACCACAGTGAAGTAATATTGGGCAAGCTGAGCCGAATGGGAGACAAAGCACTAAAGCTATTGGTTCATTAGCAAAGAATTAAAGAAAACAGGATAAATAAGAGCTAGGAAACAGAGGTTAGTATAATTTGAAGTTTCATTTACTCAATAAAATTAAATTGGGGGGGGTGGGTCTGTGGCTCAGCGGTAGAGCACTCGCCTAGCATGTGCGAGGCACTGGGTTCTATCCTCAGCATCACATAAAAATAAATAAATAAAATAAAGATATAAAAAAAGTAACAACAATCTTAAAAAAAATAAATTGGGGGCCAGGTATAGTGGTGCAAGCCTGTAATCCCAGCTACTTGGGAGGATGAGGCAGGGAGATCACAAATTCAAGGCCAGCCTAGAAAACTTAGTTTGACCCTATCACACACACAAAAAAAGCTTGGGGTGGGCTGGGGGGCTGTGTATGTAGCTCAGTGATAGAACACCCATAGGTTACTTGGTGTCACACATGCACACACACACACACACACACACACAAAAATCAAATTGACTCACAATTGTATCACAACTATACAGGTTGAGTTTACCTAATCCAATAAACTGAGATGCAAAATGCTCCAAACCTAACATTTTTTGAGGACCAGCATGGCACCACAAGTGGAAAATTCCATACCATGGAACTTTGTTTCAATAACAAAGATATTATGAATATTGTAAAAATTACCTCTGACTATGTGTTTAACTGTATATGAAATATAAATGAATTTGCTGTTCAGACTTGGGTCCTGTCCCAATGATACCTTATTATGCACATGTAGATATTCCAAAATCTGAAAAAAATCTGAAATCTGAAACACTTCCGATCCTGAGCATTTCAGAAAAGGGATATTCAACTTGTATTATCCGTGAGAAGTGGACTGGTGTTTATTTTGTGGTGGCAAATGGAAAAGACAGGGTAGGTGTTGTGTTCCAGCCTAAATGTGTTCCTTTACTGTGTCACTTAACTCTCTTGAGCTTTCTTTTCCTTACCCAAGGAACTACCAGATTAGGCTTGATGTTATCTATGATTCTTAACTATTTCTGATTAATTTCCTAGGAAAAAACCCTCAAGAGTCTTGGTAGACATAAAGCAGTCTTTGTTCTAAGATATTCTTGATGGTTCTTGCCCTTTCTCATTAGCAGTTTGCTAGGCCTATTACCCAGGTCGTGTTACCTGCCATTATAGCTCATGAGAATGCCTGCATCTGTAGTACAGTTGGTAAGGGTTTTTTGCATACCTTATCACACCTGGTTTTCATAGTTATTCAGAGATGTGAACTGAGCAGATATTATTTTAATCCCCATTTTATAGATTAAGAAATTCAGAGAGGCATTGTAGAAATCCAGTTCTTACTTACATTGTTTCTGGCATTGATGGTGAAATGGATATATATGATCTAGCTGGACTCATTATCTTGCTCTTATTTGAGAATTTTAGATGTGGTATATTTATAATTAAAGAATGCATATTATTTGGTACAGATAATACAGGGAAAGGGAAGTTTAAAACTCACTGAAGGTATTTTTATTTTTTGGTGCATCCCTAGATATCTTTCCTGATTCTGTCAGATCTTACCTTAATGCTCCAGTTTCTGTAGAATCAAGACATTTCTTGCAGTTCTTTCTTTTTTAGGTTCTTAGCTCGCTCAGGGCTTTTTATTTTCCATTTCTTTATCTTGGAATATGCATCTACTTCTTGTCTTTCTGTCAAACTTTTACCTACCCTTTAAGCTCAAGGGTTACCTGCTCTGTGAACTATTTGCTCACTATCATCTGCAGACATAGTTGCCCCTACCTCTGTGCTGCAACCTTATTTATTTTCAACGCTGGGGATTGAACCCAGGGCCTCGCATGTTAAGCTCCACTATAACCTTTAAAATCTCCATTAGAACAACCATCTCATTTCTCTCTAATCTGTAACCCAAGCTTCTTCAAAATAAAATAAAGTGTGTCTTTTCACTCTTATATTTCCAGGAAGCATGGATCATGATGCAAATGATAAAAATATTCTATGAATGAGGTAATTAATTTCACTGAAATTTATGTTTTAGCAAAATTTTAGTTTTACTTTCAGTGTCATTTGTTGCAAGAACTTCTCACTTTTCTCATTTCCTACATTCTTTTTGATCAGGTCCATTTCCTTTCTTTCAAGTACAACAAGATATTCCAGGTTCATTTGTTCTTTGCCTGCCTGTTCCAGGAATCAGCCTTTTTTCTAAGGAGACTTGATTCTGTTTAGAGGAGAACAGTATTTAGAAGCCAAGCTCAGTGCCCTAGTTACGTTCATTGCTATTACTGTGTTGTTTCCAGGCCTTGTCCGTGGACAAGGCTAGGAACTATTATTATGTATGTTTCTGTTTCTATACTAGAAACCATTAATTGACACTGATATCGCCAATTTCAACCTGATTATAAGATTCATTCTTTCTCTCCATATTTATAATTCTCTTCTCTGACAAGAAAGTGTGATGTGAAGTTAACTACCCTTTCAACCAGAGAATTAAATTTTAATTTCTTTTCTAAGTGTTTCATATTTTGTTCTGTTAGGTGATTTCTAAATTAGACATTTAGAAATAAAAAAGGCTGGAAAGGATTCTTAACATTCCTAACCCAATTACCTTGTTTTATAGATGAGGGAATTGAAATCCTGGTTGGGTTAAATGGCTTTCCCAGGTTTCCCAGGTGGCCAAGTCAAAAATAAAAAAGACATCTTTCAAAACCCTGGTCAGTGTTCTTGGCTTGCTACTCTTGTTATTATCATTCAGAACTATTTGGCCTTGGAGGCAAATTTATAAGAAAAATATGTTTATGGATCATACTTTGTATTTTAAATTAGAAGTCTTTTGTTTGGTAATGATATGAATGATAAAATGCCACTTTGGGGCCTCAAAACATTAACTGGGCAGTAGTTTGTGTTATAATTTATTAGGGTGAAAGATACAGAAATTAGCCTTAGTTAGTAGCTTGTAATTTTCTAAATGCTTTCTCTCTCTTTTTCCAAATGCTTTCTCTTAATTGCATGTTTACATTGTTAACTGTACTTGGTAAAATTGCCAGTCATTTTGATTGTTATTTATTTTGCTGTCTATTGTCTTGTAGGTTTGATGGGTTAGCAAAATGCATACATGTAGATATGAATGACTGATAGATAAATTCTAATATTTAGAAATCCACATTGTGAAATTTGTATTATTGAAAGCCCAGTACATCTATTGAAAAATCCATCACTAACAGGTAACTTTGTTATCAACAAAGTTAGTTGTGGAGAAGCAGGAAATGAACAACTTGCTAGGTATGGATGAGCTGTTTAAAACATTGATTTACAAAAGTCATCTTAGGTCATGGAGGTCAAAAGGAAAAACAGGCAACTAATTCTGTTTTAAAATCCACTTAAAGCCTTAAAGATTTAAGAGCTCAACTGTGAGGTCAACTCATTCTGGCCTGTAAGTGAAATATTTGCCCTTTGAGCTTCAGTACAATTCTGAAAATTAATGCGAACAAATGTACAGCTTTTACAACTAAAGGAACATAGCCTCAAGATCATTTAGTTCATCTTCTTTCAAGGCAGGAATCTTTGTGCCCATTCTTATAAGTGGTCACTCAGGATCTGCTGATTTGAATCACTTTCAGTCATGCACGAATCACCATCTCTGCATTAAGGCTGTGACATGCTTCTGCAGAAACATCCCACTTGGTAACTGTGCCTTCTTACTGCCTCTTTTTGCCCTCTGGAGTTGGTCAAAATAACTCAAACCCTTCCATATGACAGTCCATCAGTTGTGTCCACCAAGATCCCCATCTTCCTGGGATATTCATTGTCTCCCTGGTCTCTTCCTTCCATGGATATGAATGCCTTATAAGAGACCCTTTTTCCTTCCCTTTTCTTTGTCCATGTCTGGATTTACCGACTTTATTTAAAATGTACTGTTTTAGAATACTATGCACAGCCCTGATGAAAGGCAAGAAGAGCTCGTCGAATTCCTTTTTTGTCATCTAAGAGGGAAGCATGGTTTCACTTTATTTCCGGACCGTTGTATCCACCAGACACAACCTTTGTCCTCAAACACCACATACACTTTACACAAACTTGTTGACCTCACACCCAACCTCAGCTTTTCTTGAACCTCATCTGAACAAATAAACATTCCTTCTGATCGGCGGATATCCCTCGCGGCGTCAGGAAGGGCTGGCTTGGGCAGTGCTGGCTCAGCTAGCCCGCCTGGGTTCTACAGTTTGGGTTTCCTCTTTGTCCTCTGATTTTAAGAAGTGAGACAAAAAAGCAATTCCTGTTAATCTCTTAGACAATGTAAGGGGCCCTAGACTCCATTCCAGGAAGTTGTTTTCATCAAGGTAACAAAGAGGTGGACCACTGAGAACAGAAAGAGGGCTAGGGACCCCGTTTGTAGATGGCATCCAGGTAATCCTCAGAGGCGAGGGTAGGGAGAGGACACCGCTGAGCTGGACTGAAGCGCTTGGAGAAAGAGCAGCTCTGCGCCCCGGCGTGGACACGCCCGGGAGTTCAGCCTGGGGGAGTGTGTCACCACGTGCTACAGAGGCGGGGACTAGACTCTCCACTTATCTGTAAAGGGCGTAGGGCCCAATCCCAGAGTTTCCCAGCGGACAGGAGATAAAGGAAAAAGGGAAGAGAGAAAGAGACAGAAAGAGAGAGGAGAGACTCAGACACCGATCTAGTCACAGAAAGAGAAAGACGCAGAGAAAGAGACAGATAGGAGAGGTGAGAGGCTAGCGAGTCCTTCCTTTTAACTTGCCAAGTCCAGAGGTTCCAGGAGGGAGGATTCTGTGTAGACGCTCAAACCCCGGGACTCCGAAGGGTCCGTTTTCTGCAGCTCCCTGGGGACTGACTACACATTTCAACCTTTCTAAGTTAGCCGCGGAGGGAATAAAGCATAAAGACAGGAAGAGGAGATGGGCTTGTACAGTCAGTGTGGTTTGACTTCTTCCTAGGAGTGGCGCGGTTTGGGGCTTGATATCCGGGAGGAGCATGTGTCACCAAACTGTGCGCAAATCCTGGGGCCTCTGCAAACCCAGCTCCCGGGCAGTTGGCCTCAAGCCCAGCCGGGCCGTTCGAGGCTCTGGCCACACAGAGCTCCTGGGGCTGGCCGGCCGGTGGCTCGGTGGCCTTTATCTCTGTCCTCCTTTGTCCCTTTTATCTCAGGCTCTCCAGGAGGCCCGGGGGGCCCCACTCTGTCTATCGCTTCCCCCCGGGCAGAGCTGCCACTTCAATGTCCCGAAGGTCGTGGGCTGCTACTCTTTCCAAGGCGGCGGCGGAGCAGGAGCGCTGCGCGCCACGCTAACCCGGACGGGCGGAGACGCCTGATCGGCTCACTCTCGGCCACTCTTGGCGACACCAGTGCACCCGCGCGTCTCGAAGGGCAGCTTGGGCCAGGATGGCTCCAGGCAGGGCAGTGGCCGGGCTTCTGCTGCTGGCGGCCACCGGCTTCGGAGGGGCAGCGGAAGGGCCCGGGCTCGCCTTCAGCGAGGATGTGCTGAGCTTGTTCGGCGCCAATCGGAGTTTGTCGGCGGCGAAGCTCGAGCTCTTGCTGGAGCAGCTGGGAGCTGCCCCAGTCAAGGGCGTCCTGGATTTGGGCCAGCTGCACTTCAACCAGGTAGGATCGCGGGCCCAGAGCGGCCCTAAAGCCCGGTGGGTGTCCGTAGATTTCCATTTGTATAGGAACCGTTCTCATGTGGGGAAAGTGCAGGAGAAAGAACTTAGGTTTTTCAGGTATGGGACCGCAACTGATCCGTGGCGCTTGATTTCCACTAGATCTGGCTAGTTAATCAGGTTTAAAGGACTAGTACAGTTCAGCCAGAAGTTGCAGTTCTGTCTGATAAGCTGAGAGATCAGAGGCTTGTGCTTTTAAGATGTTGTAGAAAAGTTTATGAAGTAGTTGAGGAAGGGAAGACACCTTAAGAAATGCTTCTTCCTCTTCTTCTTTTTTTTTTTTTTTAAGATAGGAATATTGCATGTAAATCTTCCCAGTAAGACAACGGCTTACTTAATTTTCCACAAAGTCAGCAGAAAGAATATGTTACATGCCACCTTCATTAACAGTTGTCGTGTGGGCATTTCCATTTAAAAATGATGTACAACGTAGTTCTGACTCCTGAGAGCATTCCATTTAGAGCTGAAGAACCTGTTGGACAGATGGGGAAGCTGAGGATGCCAAGAGACCAGGATCACAGCTGGTGGTTCAGTTTGTGTCAAGACTGGATTTGAAGGGGGTTGTTTCTTGTCATGTCAGGCTAAGTGATTCCAAAATTCATTCAAAATAAAAACATAACATTTCTCAGTTCATAAACACAGTATTATCTAGTTAACGACAAAACCTTGGGTTTAAGGGCAGCCTCCAACCACCTAGAAGCAAGTAGAAATCATACCTGTTGTGGGGTTGGGGATGTAGTTGAGGGATAGAGCCCTTGCCTAGCATGTGGGAGACCTTGGGGTGAAGTGTGGGGGGGCAGATTCAGTTAAATCAATGCTTTGATTTTTTTGAATAACAGAATATATATATATATATATATATATATATATATATATATATATATATATATCACTTTTAGGCAATGATAGTTTGTTACAAAGTTTTTGTGTATCAAGATGTTTGGGCAATTCTGTATACTATAATCTTGGAAATACAACATTTCCCAATGAATCAGACCTTACATTACAGTTAGAGCAACTTTAATCAGATAAATACATAGGTTGGTATTCTTTTTAATCAGATAAATACATAGGTTGGTATTCTTTTTTTTTTTTTGTTAGTGATTTCATACCCCAATTAAAATTTATGGAAATAGAAATTTCTCAAGAGATAGAAATTTTTGATGCCATGGGGTTTCAGAGGCAGTCTGTCTTTGATCTAGAAGGATTTTGTGATCCCTTATGGATATTTTTAGTTTCCTATTATTCCTGTTCTTGCATGTTATTATATTTGGCTTAATATTTGAGAAATGATATGTTAGAAAGACTTAAATGCTCACATATTATATGATATTTTAGAAAATAAAGAAAATAACTTCTGAAGTATTTTCTGAGCTCCTCTTCAAGAAGGAGAACTGGACACCAGCATTTCCAAGTAGGTGTGGTCCTATGCTTGGAAAGAAGTTTAGAGACTTGACTTGAATTTGCATATCTGTGGCCCACACACTGTTTTGACTTAAGTGATATCCTTATCTCAAAGTGTCTGAAGGTGAATTTTAAGGGGGACAAAGACCCCTAATCACTCTTGCTAAGATACTGGAAAATATGTCTCAATTACTTAATTCACTAGTGATATGATTCTTGCTTTATTAGCAGATAGGATGTTTAAGTAGAGAAATTATATGTATGTTAACACTGTGTTTCTCATTCTCAAGTTTGCATATTTAACTCATTATGACCTCTGTGGGCACCCCAAAGAGATAGGAAAAAGCCCATAATTAACTTGTATACAAAGGGAAGCCAAGGAAAATTCACCACTTAATCAGGTCTGCCTAAGGAACATCTATTTGAAGTTCTAAGAAGTCCTAATGAAAACAACAATTCATTGGTTAAAAGAAGACAAATGAAATGTTAATTCAGAAGAATCCATTAATTTGCTGGTAACTAATGGAGTCTAGCCAAGGCATATTCTTATGACTTCAGTATGAAACCATCTAATTTAGAATAACATTTTAAGGCCTTTGAACATTTTTGTATTTCAAAGAATACAGTTTAGTTTCCTTACCTACCACAGGGAACATTGTACTGTATCGTGAAAAAATTAAATTTTCTGACTTTAAAAAATCCTGAGAAAATAGAATTTGTTTCCACGGGCCAGAAATTTATTGCATCTTCTACAAGATCTGTCTTCAAAAGATAGTGTTCTTTTGGATGTGGGCTGTGGTATTAGGTTAGCTTCTCTCAAGTTATAGACTACTGAGTTCTGGAGATTTATTAAATGGTTTTAGAAATTTTTCTGATTTTTTTCCCCTGGTGTCTCTAACTACTATTACATTGTCGCTTTGGGAAACCCAAGTGACCTCAGTTCAAACTGGAGATAGTAAAACAATTGAGTTCATTATTCTGCTTCTTATAGTTACTAAGTGCACAAAGAGTTAGGTACAAGAAGCAGCCCAAACAACAGAGAGGAGGGAGTGAACTATTTTTAGGCAAGTGGATCTCTGTGGCCCCATGACCACAAGCATAGGTCTGGTCCATGTAGGGGAGTGTCTGGAATATTGGAGATTTTAGAATTGCCTATTTGCTACTTTTTATTGGTTCAGAGTTTTTTTTTTTTTTTTTTTTTAACTAGGGATTGAACCTCCCTGGGAGCTTTAGGTTCTTTTATCATTCTTTTTCTTCATTTCCTCTTCTTCAACACCTTATCTCCAAGTTCTTTTGTGTGACACAGGCTAAACAGCCCATGAAAGGGAAGATCTGCATTTCCCAATTATCACCTTAAGCTGCTGGGAATGACTCCATTCAAATAATCTGGTGCCCCGGAGGGTAGAGGAGGTGGCAGGTTGCTGTGTGAAGCAACCTTTGTGTCATACTTTCTTGTACCTGACACTTGACTGCCCCCTGCGAAATATATGAATTTTCTTTCTTTCACATTTTTACTATCACCCCATTGCCTGAACTGCATTTTTAATGTCTTTGAATTTATATCAACTCTTCCTGAAGGAGTATAGTATTCTTTCTTTCAAAAACCCTCATATCTGTCTTTTCACTGGGGAAATTCTTTTTTTTTTTTTTATTGTTGGTCGTTCAAAACATTACATAGTTCTTAATACATCATATTTCACAATTTGATTCAAGTGGGTTGTGAACTCCCAATTATACCCCGTATACCGCTGGCATTGAAGGCCCTCCTCCTTTGGGGTCAACCTACTTCTCCAGGCCCGGCACCCCCTCAATTCAACAATTTGGTAAGCTTTTGCTCAATCTCTTCTTAGCTCTTTTTCTTCCTTGGACCCTTCCTGCCTCCAACTAGAACATTCTTTTTTTCCTTGAATCACTTAATCAAAATCTATGCTTCACAAAGTTCAGTTAAACTTTGCCTTAAAAATTTTTTTGAGCGTCACAAACAACACTGATTCACAGATTTTTGTTTTCCCAGTTCATGAAATATTTTTATCATGCTAGTATCAATTAACTATTCAATAAACAGTTTGACTGACTCCTGCACTCTAATTTAGAATGGTTGAAGTACAGATCTGATCTTATCACTCATCCTATTAAAACAATTCAGTCCTTTCAAGATAAACTTCAAACACTGTTTTATTTTTTGCAGTGCTGGGGATGGAACCCAGGCCTCAGGGCCTCAGGGCTTCAGTACTTGTTAGGTCAGTGTTCTACCGCTGAACTCCACCCCATCCCCTAAACTTCAGTCATTTCAATAAAAGCCCCCCCCCTTTTTTTAAAAGGTTTTTTTTTTTTAGTTGTAGATGGATACAATACTTTTATGTATTTATTTATAAAAGTACTTATTTATAAAAGTATAAAAGTATTCCGTGGTGCTGAAGATCGAACCCAGTGCCTCACATGTGCCAGGAAAGCACTCTACCACTGAGCCACAACTGAGGATTATACTCAGGGGTGTTTCACCATTGAGTTATATATCTCTAGCCACTTTTATTTTTCATTTTGAGACAGGGTCTTGCTAAGTTGTTTAGGGCCTCGATAAATTGCTATGGCTGTCCCTGAACTTGTGATCCTCTTGCCTCAGCCTCCCAAATTGCTGGGATTACAGGCATGTGCCACTGTATCTGGCCACAGCTGTAACCTTTTTTTTTGGGTGGGGTTGGGTACTGGGGATTGAACTCAGGGGCACTGGACCACTGAGTCACATTCCTAGTCCTATTTTGTATTTTTTATTAGAGACAGGGTCTCAGTAAGTTGCTTATCATCTCACTTTTGCTAAAGCTGGTTTTGAACTCGAGATCCTCCTTCTTTAGCCTTCCGAGTCCCTGAGATTACAGGTGTGTGGGTGATGGGGATCCATCCCAGGGCCTTGTGCATGCAAGGCAAGCACTCTACCAACTGAGCTATATCTCCAGCCCTCCACTGCTACAATCTTAACAGGCTGGGTTTTTTGTTTGTTTGTTTGTTTTTTTAAGAGAGAGAGGAGAGAATCTTTTTTGTAGATGGACACAACACAATGCCTTTATTTTTTTTAAAGTGGTGCTGAGAATCGAACCTCGGTCCTGCCCATGCTAGTCGAGTGCTCAACCTCTGAGCCACAATCCCAGCCCATAACAGGCTGTTTATAGTGCTCAGTGTTCCACTTATATCTGCTTATGCTCTGGTATTAATTCTTCTGAGACCTTTCTTGATCTGCTTAAAGCGTTTAGTAGGAATCTCTTTTATGTGATCTTGTATTAATCGATGCCTGTGAAATCATAATAATATTTATTATAATATAATAATAATATTAATTATAAATATTGCAATTATATTATAACATGGACAGATTTTATGTCACTTTTTGTTTTTTTGTTTTTTTTTTACATGGCTGTACTCCCTCTATGCCCCTCTCTCCTCTCCCACTAGATTATAAACAAATTGAAAGGTGTATCTTGACTCATCTCTCCAGGGGTTGGTGTAGCCTGGTTCATAAGATGTATTCATTAGAAATTTATTGAA